CTGTTTACTTTAGCCGCATTCATCGTGAAACTTGCTAACTAGCACATTATTAGGAAAGGCGATTTTAAAAAAACCTTACACTCACTTCTTCAGTAGGTGAAGCTGGATCACGAATGATTTGTGCAAACATAGATGCATTTATGTAGATCGGGGGCGCATTCTCTTTAAAAACAAACGTAATCCACTGCGTCTTCAGCGGCTCAGATGTCGGGAGTAAATGACGACTGCTATGTTCATTATTACATCTAACAACAGAACACCTCAATTGCTTAGGAGACATTCTTGTCTACATCTGCTCCGGCGGTGAAACAATGGCGGATTGATGACAGCTCACTCAGGGCGGGTCTAAGGTAAGACGCCAGTCCAGTCTGTGCTGAAACGCTACTGTCAATCAAACTATCGTGGGAGGGGCCTGTTTTTATGATGTCACACAGACAGGCATCTGAGATCGGCTCGATTTAAAAAAGGGGTAAAGATTTGAGCAGATTAAACAAAAACCACTGGGTGGATTTGTATCAGTATAGGGTGGTTGTGTACACACACTGCCAACACACATTTCAGTTCAAACAACTTGTAAAAGTGCATGTAGCATCATATGACCCCATATGAACACTTTTGTTTTATTCAAACTTATTTTAAATGCTGGAGTGATACACAATGACTGGTGATGTATAACTGAATAATGTACATATAATAACTGAAGACTGGAATCTCACTTATATGGCAGAAAACTCTGTGACGTAAATTGTAAATTCGCAAGACATTTCTGGTCGAATTATTACAAAAGTTTTGTATTGTTGAACTTGTGTCAGAAAGGTGTGTGATGTTCCTATGGCAGAATGAACTGTGAAATCCTCTTCTCACAGATCCATTGAAAATTTTAATTACATGAATAATCAAGCCACCCTAAATTAGGCCACTCTGGCAGTTTAGGCACAGCTACAGTCACAACACAGTCCTCATCTACAGTGCCTTGTCCTCTATTTGGCTCTCCTGATGCCCAGAAGCTGAAACTACAGATCAGCATTAGATGTTCAGTGCTGCTTTCTGTTTGATATGATACTGACTGTGAGAATAATTTATTAGATAATAATTAGTTTAAGTGATTTCTCACCTGGAGTTCAGTGTGCTGCCATCAACCCATTTCCATCTGCCCTCCACATCAGTGTCAGTCAGACCAATATAAAATACAGCATTACCATACGTGTTGTGAACAAAATCCTGAGCAGATAAAACGGTTGCACATTTATATCATAAATAGACACATTTCATCTGACCATCTCATGTTTAGCTGCTACACACTGTGAACACAATCTCTCACTCACTTTTTCCTCTCTGTTGTTTATGATGATCAGATCTGCTCCTCTCTCTGTACAGTATCTTCTGCTCTCAGTCCAGTTTTTCTTCTCTTTGGGCATGTAGTAAAAACTGGATTTATAGCAAGTCCATCCAACTGTTAACAGAACCAGTTCAGCTGTTAGCTTTTTACTCCCATTTACACTCATCAACCCAACTCCATCAGGCTTTAAAAATGTCTGCTGTATCCACCTTAATTTTTTCAATGTGGAAGTAAGCTATTTTCTGTGAATGCGTGAGACTTATATACAAAGCTATGGTAAAACAATTTGTGCTACAGACCAGTTTGTTTATAATTACAACAATACATTAAATTATATGGTAAGAAACACCAGTTTATCAATCAACTAAACAAGCTGTTTTGTACAGCTAAAATAAGTGGAAGCAAATGACACTGGAAGCCGGGACATTGAACTTACAAATGGCCACTCTTACGTTAAAAATAAGGTGGATAGCAAATAAATACATAGAGTAAAGAAACTTTACCACAGATCTGAAGTTAATTTCTTAGCTGTTCTCTCTCATTGGTCAGGTTTTCATTTTGGGATTTGAGCTGTTGTCTCTCTTGAGTGAGTGTGACACACAGCACCATGACTGCAGTCAGCAGAAGAACACACAGCAGCACCAAACACACTGCAGCTGTTCTGTAGTTTCTGACCCTCACTGAATCACTTCCTGAAGAACAAACATGCTGTTATTCTCTTTATTTATGCACTTAACACAGCACACATCAGTTGAGAGCATCAAAACTGAGTGAATTATTAATATCAGTACCTGTGAGTTCAGATGATTTTCCATGCGTCTTTTCCAATTTTACCTCTTATAACGTCATTTACATAGATATTATCAGTGCTTGCCCCATCTTTGTACATTTTCCAAATTTTTCCTAGATTTTCTTTTACATTTTCAGACAGTTTTGGTGTTACACTAGTGTCTCTCTCCTGGAGTGGACTGTGTTGTTCTCTTCATCTGTGTTTGTGTGGCCAGTATTTATGCAGACAGGAACTTCAACTCACTGCAGAAGTACACTGGATTTGTTTCCCCCATGTTTTCCAAGAAGTGTGAGTAATCTGATGATTTTCAAAGAGGTAAACTTTTTTAACAGAACTACTGTCAGCAACTGTTGAGGTTTGTCAAATCCTAAACATCTTTTGGTTTCTGTAGTGCAGTTCAATTAAATTCAATTTAATTAAAACACTTTTTTTCTGGAATATTTTACACAATTTTGTAAATGCTTGTTTTAAGGATGTTCAGATGTTTATACTGAAAAAAAAGTCAAAATACTGATTACGATTTTTTTAGGCAGTGTAAAAAAAACAAAAACCAATATAATATATTCCATTCTTTCTAGTTTATATGGTTTAAAATTATACAAAGAAATGCATGATTAATTAGCATTGATAAGTAGCTGAATATTTTGGTGTTGTATTAAAGTAAATTGTGAAAAGTCTTTTGAAATTGAACTGTGAAATATTATCTGATGTTAGTATACATATGACATCCAATAGGTTATATGTTGTCACAGGTTTTCCTGTTGTGACAGGCTTCTAAAGTGTTATATTTAATGCTAAACCATAGGCGGCTTTGAAGGGGAACTACAGGGATCTGTTCTCCATCCATTTCTTCTTCCGTTTTTTTCGTCATCTAATCAGGTTGATTATTTTATTACTGCTATGCCAACTTGCTATGCCTTTTTTACTAAAAGAGGTTTGTTTAAACAAGATTAAGTTAAATTGTGCTTACATTTGAATGTCTTAAGTGCAGCTACAGTTTTGAAGACTATTTGCACTTACTGTAAACATTAGTTACTATTTTCACTAGTGTAAATGGTGGCAGATACTGTTTGCACCCCAGTGTATTCTTGTGTGTAATCATAGTATGTAATATTAAAACATGTTCAGTTTATGATCATATACAGTTCATATATAAGCATTCATAGCCAAGATCTATTGAATTTACATTAGACACTTAATTTACAGTAAGGGCTTGAGCACCCATAGGAACGGCTGAGCACACCTACAGAAAAACAGAGAATATTCTCCATTGTTTTCAACCAACCAATAAACCAACTGACCAATAAATAAGATTCAGGAACCTCTCTAACTGCTGGTTCTCACGTTGGGCACCAGCGTGTCATAATACATACAGTTTTAATATTATATTTGGCATTAAAGCAAAAACTGACAGAATGGCTTGTGCTTTCAGTTTTATTATTATTACTACTTATTATTATTATTTTTTATTTATGTATTTTATTTATTTATTTATTTTTGCATGATGATAAATTACACAAACTTCAAAATCATCAGGAATATCAGCAAGAGAGCAACTTACATTTACATTTACATTTAGTCATTTAGCAGACGCTTTTATCCAAAGCGACTTACAAATGAGTACAATAGAAGCAATCAAAACTAACAAAGGAGCAACAATATATAAGTGCAAATGACAAGTCTCGGTTAGCCTAACGCAGTACACGTAGCAAGGTGTGTATGTGTATGTGTATATATATATATATATATATATA